GCCATTGATATCATAAGACAGCTTCTTTTATAACCTTATGTACCTAAGTTGAAGTGTCACGTGAGCAACGTTAACCATTCAAAGTGAAATTAAATTTTGAATGGAAGATATCACTGCCACAGTGACGGCGCGCAAGAGATACGCAGTTCCTTTCATAGGAAATAAAGAATTATTTAATTTAGAGTAGCTCGAGAGAATCCACGCGTTCGATCGCGGCAAGCCAGAGCCAAGCGAGCAAGGTTTCACTGCGAGAAATGTTAGACGATAAGCTGGCTATCTTCTTTACCTTCAATACGAGGATCAGCTGTTGGCCGGGTGTGTCTGAGTATTATTATCCACGACGGCACACGTAGATCGACAAGTGCAATCTAAAATGTAACACTCAACAGGGATTCGTTGAAAAGACAATATATACAAGGAAGGGTTACTTCAGTAGAAAACCCGACCCTCAGCACCTCACCAACACATTTGCACTTTCACAATAAAACTACACGATGTGGGCAGGACACACACAAATTTTATTCTCAACACTCTGCTTCGTGATAATAGTAATATGTAAGTAGAAGCAATACATAGGAGCACTTCCGCAGAGGAATAGAGAGAACACAAAGAGCTACGGAGCTCCTATACACAACCCCTCCCGTCGCGCACCTCAGAAGCACTGATCTGCTGCTACACCAATCATCGGCAGCAAGCAGCGTCAGCTGCGGCTGCACCGACCATTACACCAACAGAAAACTTCCGAAACTTGAGACCGAAAATTACAATCTATGCGGTTAAAGAGATTCGCAGGCCGTAAATAGAAGCAAGCAATTATACTTGATTAGTTTAGGAGTAGATTACTGAATCACTTATAATCCCATCTGTCTCACAGTATGTTCTGCATATATGAGTTGTATGCTTAAGAGAAACTGCCAATAATTCGTCATCTAAACGTTTCGTCCTTACGAGATTGAATCAATGAAGTTATATATACTCATTCTCGTAACTCTGTTAATATATCTCTTCGTAGGATATAAATGAATATTATATCGAACCAATGAAATATTTATGGAATTTGAGAGCAAATTAGCATTAGCCAAACGAAGTGAAGATGGCATCTTCACTCCGTTTTGCTACAAACGGAGTGAAAATGGCCATCACTGCTCACGCGACGCTGACCGTTGAGCCGCTCAGTGAACGGCCGGTGTAAAGCAGCCTAGCGTGATATGGTTAAAGGTCAATAAATGTTTTAAACGCGAGTCAGGTTCGTCAAAAGCAATAAATAACGCATAAAGTGGTTTGTGAGTGAATGTATGAATCTGACGCGTCATAGTATATATACCCGGTCCGAAATAAACTATTGGAGAGCTTGGGAAATAGCTCGTGTATTATGTATACCTACATAAATTAAAAAAAGATAGAAAAAATAGTTCGTGAATGCCTATATAAATTAAAGTTGGCAAATTTTAATGCATAAATGAATTAAAGATAATCATTAGCGACTGGGTTGCGATCCTAGTGACTTCGTTAGGCCAGTTTACGGAATGGACCAAATTACTGATTGGACGCTGATTGGACTGAATGGCACAATGATTGACTCAATGGTTCACTGATTGGCATGAATGGTTCACTGATTGGACTGAATGGTTCAATGATTGGACTGAATGGTTCGCTGATTGGACTGAATGGTTCAATGATTGGACTGAATGGTTCACTGATTGGACTGAATGGTTCGCTGATTGGACTGAATGGTTCACTGATTGGACTGAATGGTTCACTGATTGGACTGAATGGTTCAATGATTGGACTGAATGGTTCACTGATTGGACTGAATGGTTCACTGATTGGACTGAATGGTTCACTGATTGGACTGAATGGTTTACTGCTGTCTCTTATACACATCTAGATGTGTATAAGAGACAGGTATTCAACATGCAGATGTTGTGCAGTAATTGGCATCGTATTCAACATGCAGATGTTGTGCAGTAATTGGCATCGTATTCAACATGCAGATGTTGTGCAGTAATTGGCACCGTATTCAACATGCAGATGTTGTGCAGTAATTGGCATCGTATTCAACATGCAGATGTTGTTCAACTACGAATTAAAATGCCTTTGTGCCCTCAAGAACCTGTAAAAATGAAATCTAAGCTGCAGTCGTTGAAAAAAAACACCACAGCTAGTCCTGCTATGCGCCGTCCAACTCATCTAAAGGTTGCTGCTGACTCTGAACTCTGCCTGTCGCTAAACTATGTTGGGCTGAGGCCTGGACATTGTTTTTACATATATGCAGAGCTCTCTGAATAATGGGTGTATGTTTTTAATCAACTAAAATTCATATATCACTCAAGTGCGATGTTTTCACACAATCGACAAGATATCAAATCAAAGTAATAATCAAGGAAGCGTTTATTTTTATTAATTCGGCAAAATGTTCAATTTGATAGAACGAGGTTTTGCTTCGTTGAAATGCAATTTAATAAGTGCTGGCCATATATTGACAATGTTCAGTCGTCCGAATTCCAAGTGTAATTTTCAGGATACGGTTCAAATGAGTAGGAGGTAACACGTTGGTAACACGTTGATAACATGTTGGTAACACGTTGGCAACACGTTGGCAACACGTTGGTAACACGTTGGTAACACGTTGGAAGAACTGAGTGACGTATGCAAGACGAAAAATAGTGTTAGGCCGGCCAGTCTCATGCAGGAGCGAGATGAAGGTATACTGTACAAGAAATAAATTCAAATTATGAAGCTTTCAATAAGCCAGGGTAAACTTATACACGTAATAATAAATGACGAGCTTTATATGTACGTAGAAAAGCACAACGAAGCTAATGTTTAAATGCCCAGTGTGATGATCACTTTTTGAAGGAAGAATAATTGGAGAAAAATAGTGGAAATCAGGGTGGGAAGTTGGACGGGAAAAATAGCAAGAACAGTTTAAGGTTTTGATACATGGAAATTGAGATAAAGACTTAGGGCTATTGAACAGTGATCTTCGCCGCGGTAACGTAGTTTACGCACTTCTCTATATCAAAGAATTCTAAAAAAATTTAATTGATTACTGGTATATATAAAGAAACTGAATAATTGAAGTTGAAACATAAAATTTGCATTGAAATTGCTTTGAAATTGCAAGCCTTAATTTAAGTCCAACTTTTCGATAGATTTATTAAATGAATTTGATAGAACAAAACAACAATGTAAACGGCATTCACAAAACTAAGAAATAGAGAAACAGGTTGGCTGTAACTGAGTAAGACGGTGAAGATACTTAATTAGACGTAATTGCAGGGTAGTTGTGATAAGGATCGGAAACGGCAATATTCACGAAAGTTTTGAGCTTTAAAGAATAAATCAATGAGATTTTAACATAGTATAACACGGTAAAGGGATTAGTTTAATCGGCTTTTCCTCGCGGCAAAACTGATCCGATGTAACAGAGATCTGATGATGATCGTCCTATAAGGCCCGCGGCAGAACCACTGATTTAGGCCAAATACTTACTCTTCGGATGAAGTTATTGAAGCGTACATATATCACGGCAATTCTTATCTACTAACAGATCTTATAAGTTAACCCTAGCCTATATACAAATTGATGTGAAGAATGATAATTTTCTCACACAATAAGCGTCGAGTAGCAAACCTCAGATGTATAGCCAGATAATATCTTAGTATATATACTTAGTATTTGTTTCGTACGTAGCAGTCCTTCTGAAAATCGGTTCACTTCTGCGTGGGAACCTAATGCAGCAGGCACGGCAGATAAAATAAAAAATTAACTCTAAATGCCATCGTAACGTAAAGGCACTGTCCCGCTGTTATTATTGTTGTAGTGAAAAAGATAGCTCAGTCAATACTTCCCCTGCACCAGTCAAACACCAGGCTGTTCAGGCACGGATACTTACCTGCTTTAATTAAAGAATTAACTCACCTGAGTATATGACCGAGATTTACTTCATAATCGACGCCATACTACTAAGTATTCCTAATATCCATCAATGGTTGAATGGTTTGAAGACAACAATCCGTGAAGCGCAAGTTCAGAATAAAAATAATATGTGAGTAAACAGTTATGCGTACAGCAAGAGAAAATATATCAAAATCTGACAAATGTTGATCATATTCAATGTAAGTGCTTCTAAAAAAGGGGACATCAGCATGTTAATATTTTAATATGTAGTGTTAGTTTAGTTATATTTTTCCCACGTCACGTATCAACGACACGAGTGCGCACAAGTTACGTTTGAAAATGACTATACCTAGCAAAATTCAGAAGCATAATTGCTTACTTGTAATGAAATTCGCATTGACGCGAAAGTAAGACGTCTCGAACAATTTTACGGCGCGGCTGGTCTCATGGCCGGTCTACAAGGAATATCTCCCAATTCAACAATTGAGAAATACGTATCTCGCAAAGTAATGAACGCAGCTCGATGAAACTTGGTACACGTTTTCGTTAGAATCTAACGGTGATATTAAGCTCATAAAAAATATTCTCAATTTAACCTTCAAGCGTGAGTCATACCTCATACGGTGGAACGGGCCGAAATTTACAATGACCAATATATTTCTTCTAAACTACTGAACAGATATGAATAAAATCTTGAATATACATTTCCAACCTCCCAACGATGATCATTCAATTTGGAGACCGGGCGTGACATGGTATAGTTCAACCATGGGCCGTAAAACCGGCCGTAAAATTGTCCGACACGTGACGTTAAGCTCCATACCACAAAATACTTCCACGCAATCTGACAGAAACAATCAAACAACAATGTCTATTTCTGACAACATTTTGGCAGCTATGAAAATACTCCAAAAAATCACTAAATATTATCTACTCGTGTATAATAAGAGATTTTCGTTAAATTTGGAAACTAATCTTAGCGTGTTTATATATACGGCCAGAATATGCTGAATTTCAATCTGTTGTTCGGTAATCTGTTGCAACATTCGACTATGTCATATGTGTCTGCAGTCTGCACTCTGCAGTAGTCACAGTAGTGGTGGTGGTGGAACAGCAAAATTCACTGAATACCGTACCGATAATAATTGCGTCAACGCAGATTATAAATCAATTGTTCACTTAATTAAACATTATCTCATAATCTCAGTTGTAGGATACAATTAAAAATCTGTTTTAATAAATTATTTAGCTCGTCCCGTAATAGGCTACTAACTGAATTAGTGATGCATCAACATCAGCTGATTGGAGTGTTTACATTTGCAATTACGAGGTATGATGTATGCACAGTTTCTCCCAGACTCCTAGCAAAAGCCAGAAAGTGATGAAATAGCTACGTACTTGCTATTTGCTAAGTTGCTAAACATGGTGCAACTTAATGACTTATACCTACTGCCTACTGGCCAGGTCGTGGGTTCTTTCACTTTCACTCTTTCAGTGTGTATCTTTCTGCTATCTGCATGGTTGTCATTTGCTGAGAGCCTGAGTCTGTAACATTACTGGGAAACTGAAACATGTAGGTATTCACATTATTAGAACACACAAAAAATGTTTTGACTTATTAGACAAAAGATGCTGCACGGTTGGATGGTGCACAGCAGCACAGGTGCACAATAAACACTAAAACAGCACATAAAAATGAGATTTTCTTCTAATTCCTAAAGGCTCAATTCCTTGACCTTAAGCTAGAGTCTTACTGCCCTAGAGAATAGAGACAGAGTAATCACAATATGAATATGATAATATCACATAGTGTCATAGACTGACATGAGAACTTGGGAAGTTATTGGTGCTATCACTGCTATGACAGTAATCACAGTATCAGTAGCTATGACTGCCAGTGCCACCTAGACTCAAATCATCCTATGTTAGGCTATGTATGAATAAAATCTTGTGGCTCCAAGGCAAAGTGACCAATCTTTGATGCATTTGGAAACTCATGTTCCCAATTGGGCAATTTATTTAGAATTACTAGGAGATTATTTATTTGGACTCTGGTGGGGATTAATGGGGATCATGTAGCTCTACTACTACTACTCTACTAGAGTCTAGACTACTGGTCTCAATCTGCCATACTGCCTCTACTCATTATTATAAATGATGGGAATTTTTACTTATTACTAAAAAAATCTGGCACCTCCAAAGTGACAAATTTTTAATGCACTTGGAATCTTATGGCACAATTTTGTATTTTATTAGGTTTAAAAAAAAGTAAATTCATCTATTGCTAATCTTATGGTTTCAGAAATTGTGGGAAAGCTCTTGACTCTAGTTTGGCTCTAAACTCTAAGGGTAGATATATTCCATGCCTGTGCTCATTGGACTTCATTCACTGAAGAAAGTTGACTCTAAAAAAAAACTTTTCTTGCCACTATGCCATTGCCATGCATCCTAGTTCAATGCCTGCTGCTAGGCCTGCTACCAACAGCACTGGCAGCCACAGTTGTGAGATGATGCAACCATAGCCTTGTTCCTTGCCAGTTGCCATTATGCTCACTTATAGCTGTGCTGTGATACGTATATTAGTGACCATTGCTGCATTTAATGCTGGCTGCCCGCTGCTGGGACACCACCCCAATGCTAATACTATGCTACCAACTGCTCTCCAGGCTGTCTGTGCCAATTGATCAGATTGAGATCCCCCTTCGCAAAATGCATATCAATTAGCTTTCAGAAAGCTCATTTTGTAATGGAAAGTTCTCCAATAGCTTACATCTTCCTGAGACAGGCTAGAAAAATATGGTTTGCTTTTGTTTATAAAAGGAAATGTTTTATTGAAAGCCAGCCCATAAAATTGATGAAATTGACTGCATGCATAGGACTTTTTCTCATACACTGTTGGCTTCTGCCCAGTTTTCCAGAATGGCCAAAAGTGAGCCACAAATGAAAATTAATGCTTGGGATTCTCAGGCAATTTTGCTCATTTCTGTGGCATTTGCCCATTTTTATTTTATATAATGAAAAAAGATAATTTTTTCGTGTGACTAATCAAAAATCAGCTGTGGAGTAATCATTTTCACTTCAAATTTTTTGAAATTTTTCCTTATATTAACGATTGGGCTATCATACCAAGGGCTGGGGCCAGGGTGAGATTGTAAAGTCTTAGGATATAAACAGTGACAGCAATACTTTTTTTTTTTGAAACTAATGTTTAATTGAATTGAAACAACTAATGTTTAACTAATGATGGCAATATGAAATTTTACTTTTTAGAGTCAAGAAATGTATTTTAAATGAGAATGAAAATAAGCCTATGGAATCGGTGTGAGTGCTTAGGTAAAAAGGTACAATTATACATATAACTTAGCTATAAGCAAGTTCAGGCCCAAGCAGGAGCTGAAAACCAAAGAAAAATAACCTCACTAGGCCATGACTGCTGGAACACACCCCTCTGAAGGCTTTGCCTTGACTTATTGGGTGGAACAGATGCAACAACTTGTTTTGCTGAATTTCTTTTAAATGGCATTTTCCTTGATGCCATAAAATAATTTAAACTTCAGATTTCTTAGAAAATTTTTTACATGACAAAATGCACTATTATTCAAATTTTTTATCCAATTCATTGTAATTATAAGAATCTTTACTGTTGAAAATTTAGATTCTTTTTCTGTAACTATAAATCTAATTCTTGTGTTGAAATTTATATTTTGGTTGTGGTTTAGCATTCAAATTCAGCCTGGCAGCATATCATGTACAAACCTTTATTTGTACTGTAATGTAAAGCATATTCATATGGTAATATTTACTGGCTGAAAAATGATTCTTTCATGTCTATTTTAGTTCAGTCCAATTCCTATTATTTGAAAAATCTGTTTTAACAAAGAGGAATGTGTTGATGACAAAGCCCATCTTCCCTTATACCATCATCTAATCCCATTTACCCATTATTCAGAAGTTCTTATAAATCCTCTTATTCTGAATGCCATCATAATATCCTGTATCCTATAATGTCAGATGTTGGCATTCAAAATCTTGCAATGTTTTACAAAAATCATTTATCCTAAATCCTGTCATCTCGACTCCATTATCCCCAATACAATATCATTTTTTCTCCAACCCCATCATGATTGATTATATTATTCTTCATACAGTGGTCCATTCTAAAGTATCTAGATCTAGTTTGTACGGAAGGCTCTTTTTATCAGAATATTTGAGTATGTCTGTCAGGTCACTTCAACTTCACTGCAAATAGAAATCATCCATAATTTGCTTCAATGACCAACATGGCTTGTCCAAGATTATTAACTTGTTAAGTGCGGCTATGTTTTGTATTCAAGGTGCATTTCATACCTGTATTAAGACCCTCCGCTAGATTGTGCTGCACTTGCAATTCAAAATTTGTGTGTGCAAAGTTAGATTTTGATCTTTATATTTTAGGCTCTGATGGTTTGTCCTTGATCAAAATATGAACTTTAAGCAGCATTTTTGCTAATGATCTATGTTTTGTCTGTTCAGAACATTGTGCCTGTTGGGAAGCTCTTCACTGTTACCAACCCGATGTGCTTTATGCAGGAAAATCTTATTACTTTTATGAACGCAACGCTGAGGTAAGCATACATTTGTTACATATTATTTTTTTAGGCTTTGAGAATCAGCCTTGCTTTCTGAGGTAATAAACTGCTCACTGAAGATGCTACATTGTGATCCCATAAATTTATTTCAGGTGTACTTATAAATTTGGGATCAAAAAAGTTATTAGCACTCTGCAACATTTTTCAATTATTGGCACTTTTCAACTGACTGATCTTAATCAGGAGATCTTGATGCATTATTATTTATTATATTCAGGTGTACATTACATTCTTAAAGGCTTTTATAATTGTGCAGATAAGCAAATTGTAGGTTCCCTGTTTTCTTGGTGACGCTTGAAGAGGCAAGAACAGCTTTGTTGGCTGGAAATTCTGAGACATTTCCTGGCAGGCAATTTAGCTTGGGGTGTCCTTTTCCTGCCAACGGCCTCACTTATAGTGAGTTTATAAATAAAAGCAGGGGTCGAGAGTTAATGAATTGAAGAGAGTTAATAGCAATATTAATATGTACTGAAAAACTGCATTTTCTTCTTAGTTAGAAATGCTGTGCCATATAATTGGTCTTTAGATATGATCAAGCATGCAAAAGTGTTATCAAGTACCCCTCCTCGTTATCAATTATATTTAAGTATTTTCAGTAAAATTCTTGAATGAGATAAAAGATGTTGTTGTGAGTTTTTGTTGTTGAGCAATTGAGTTGATATATAAAATAATGCTTGCAGAGAGGCAGAGATGAGCAGCACCCAGATGCCTGTACCTCCGCATCCTCTTCCCCCCGCCACCTCATGCCCGCAGGTCTGTTGATGTCTCATCTCTGTATGGTGTTCATCATTAATGCATGTCTCATCTCTGTATGGTGTTCATCATTAATGGATGTCTCATCTCTGTATGGTGTTCATGATGAATGCATATCTCATCTCTGTATGGTGTTCATCATTCATATTATTATATGTATTATATATTATATTTCATGAATGATGTTCTATTTATGTGTAACCTTCTTCCTATTCATGTCCAGTTGACCTCTCCTAACCCCTCCTGCAGGGTGAAGGAGGGCAGACCCCGTCTATGTCCCCTCCCTGTGGGGCACACAACGGGGGAGAGGCTGTCGTGGGTGCTGTCAGCCCTCCCCCTGAAGACTCTGCCACGTCCCCCAGCCCCAGCTCACCACAAGACAACTTTGTTATCCTCAAGGTGGGGATTGGTGGGATCTTGGGTCGCCTGTTGGTGTGATGGTGTCATGATGGTGCATCATTGCTGTGATGGTGAACCCCTAGGGTTGGTGTGATGGTGAGGGAGTTGTGCTGTATTGTGCTGCTGTCCCCCAGGGGAGTTGTGCTGTATTGTGCTGCTGTCCCCCAGGGGAGTTGTGCTGTATTGTGCTGCTGTCCCCCAGGGGAGTTTTGCTGTATTGTGCTGCTGTCCCCCAGGGGAGTCTGGTGAGCCCCACGGAGCAGGAGTACGAGCAGCTGACGGCGTGGCTGGCGGGGAAGCTCACAGCCGGTGGTGGGGAGACCGTGGTGGACGTGGGCACCGGGGCGGGTGGGTGGAACAGTATTATCGCTTTAGAAGCTCAATTAGCAGTAAATTATTGCCTCATAATAGTTCATTATTGGTTCAATATTAGAACTGTTTTACATTACTAGAATTATCAGCACTTCCTTAACAACCCTCTCCCCACAGACGACTCAGTGTCGGGACTGCCACCCGCCGACTACGCGGCGTCTGTGGCCGGTCTCCGGGCGCTGGCGGAGGCCGCGTCCGCGTCCTGCGTTCTCCTGAGGGAGCGTCCGGGGGGCGGGGGGACCAAGACCCAACCTCACCTCATGGGGCAGTACCTCGTCAGGAGGCGGGCTGACACTTGTGACTTCATGGAGGTCAGGTGAGGCAGTATCCACGAGTTCCTCCATAGGAGACCCAGAGGGTGAGGCAGTGTGGCTGTTACTTTAGCTCCTCCACTTTGCCATTCCCCCAAGCATGTGGCGCTAAGCGCGGGACACTCCCAGAGTAACCAACAAACTGTGGGTTCTTCTTATGAGTTATCTTGCACCTCAAGCCTTTGACGGACTTGATGCTTTACGATCCACGCTGCTGGGGGTGCAGCCCTTAGCCTTTTATTGACTCGCTCCATGACCCAGGGTGGCGGTGGTAGGCAACGTAGACGCGGGTAAGAGCACGCAGCTGGGAGCATTATTTATCCCTTTATTGACACACTCCATGACCCAGGGTGGCGGTGGTGGGCAATGTAGACGCAGGCAAGAGCACGCTGCTGGGGGTGCTGACGCACGGCGAGCTGGACAACGGACGTGGCCACGCGCGCCTCAAGCTCTTCCGCCACAAGCACGAGATGGAGTCTGGCCGCACCAGCAGCGTCGGTAACGACATCCTCGGCTTCGACAGCCAAGGTGGGTTGTGGTGACCCACAAGGGCGTGGTGGGCAGGTTGGTGGGTCATAGGCGCCCCACCTGATTGTGGGGGATCGTTGGGTGGTGGTGGGGACCTATGTCTGAATCTTGCGTATCTTGCAACTGACCAACAGGCACCACTCCTGTATCCCCTAACTCACCAGGCACCACTCGTGTATCCCCCAACTAACCTCCTCCTGCCCGCAGGTCAGGTGGTGAACAAGCCTGATCACGGCCACCTGGACTGGGTCAAGATCTGCCGGGACTCGAGTAAAGTGATCACCTTCATCGACCTGGCGGGGCACGAGCGCTACCTCAAGACCACAGTCTTCGGCATGACTGGTCATCTGCCTGACTTCACCATGCTTATGGTGAGGCATGACCTGTCGCCCAAACTCATCACTAAGCACTGTATGCATGCATCAAGTATCACTAAGATCTGTATGCATGCATCAAGTATCACTAAGCACTGTATGCATGCATCAAGTATCACTAAGCACTGTATGCATGCATCAAGTATCACTAAGCTCTGTATGCATGCATCAAGTATCACTAAGCGCCTTCTCATTCTGTAGGTGGGGGCCAATGCTGGCATCGTGGGCATGACGAAGGAGCACCTGGGTCTTGCCCTGGCCCTGAACGTGCCCGTGATGGTGGTGGTGACCAAGATCGATATGTGCCCCCCCAACGTAATGCAGGACACTCTCAAACTCCTACACAAGATCCTCAAGAGCGCAGGATGCAGGAAAGTCCCCCTGCTGGTCAGGACGCAGGACGACGTCGTCGTCGCGGCCACCAACTTCGTCTCTGAGAGGTGCGACGAGGGTCGACTTTTGGGGGTAATTTCCATGGTCAGAGGTTATTGGGGTTGTTGCGCTGCCAGGGTCAGGGGTTATAGGGCTTATTGCACTAGGTAGGATTGCAACACCGCAATTTGGTACCTATGGGACATCACTGAAATTGAGGATAATGTGGACAATGAGTACTGAAGCTACGTTTGACGACCACACCGTGACAGCAGTTGCAAAAAGAAGACAACAGACGAGGTGTCTCTGGTGGACATTTTGAACGAGAGAAGCAGCACCAATGATTACACTCATCAGAGCCCTTGTGCTCCCCAATCTTGAGTATTGCTGCCAGCTTTGGGCGCCGCTCAAGGCGGGCGCGGTGCGGAAACTGGAGGCAGTGCAGCGGACCTTCACGTACAGGATCAGCGGCATGAGGGAGCTGAACCTGAACTACTGGGGAAGGCTGAAACATCTGGAACTGTACTCACTGGAGAGAAGAAGAGAAAGGTATATCATACTGTACACTTAGAAGATGATAAACGGACTGGCTCCCAACTTTGAGAGTGAAACCTCCAGAATAGTGACACGTTACAACGAAAGGAGGGGGAGACTGTGTAGGATTCCCTCATTCAATAACCGAGCCGCGGCCAGAGTACAGACTCTTCGTGAGGGATCACTGTCCGTTGTAGGGCCGAGGCTGTTTAGCGCCTTACCAAAAGCGCTGAGAGGAGGGGAGTTCACCCTTGCAACATTCAAGAGACGACTGGATAAGTGGTTGAGAAAGATCCCGGATTGTCCAGTAATGGGAAACTACCCTCAGCAAGTGACAAGCAACAGCATCTTGCAACAGCGTGCCCAAAGGAGGGCAAATAGACGGAACACGTCCAACGTTACATCCGGGACCCGATGGCGGGGTGACCTGCCAAGCGACGACTCGGAGACGGAGGACGACGAAGGCAGCGCATCAGCGTGACCGGGGACTAGGAAGTCTCAAACAATATAAAACTAATCTAAAGCATGCAAACAAGTCCCAAACAATATAAAGCAGTAATCACGCGTTGACGTAAAATTCTGACTTGCAGATGATATGTATGATATGTGCCCAGGTTGTGAACGTTAGATTATATGTGCCCAGGTTATTATATGTAAGATTATATGTGTCCAGGTTATATATATAGGAATATATGTGCCCAGGTTATTATATATAAGATTATATGTGCCCAGGTTGTGCCCAATATTCCAAGTGAGCAACGTGGACGGCACCAACCTGCACCTGCTGACGATGTTCCTGAACCTGCTGGCGGTGCCTCGTGGTGGGGGCGACGACGAGACCCAGCCTCCACACTTCCAGATAGACGACACCTACCAAGTGCCAGTGAGTGCCAATAGTGCCATGCAGTGCCACTTGTGCTGGGGGTGCTGGTCTTGTTGGTACCATGTGCCCGTGAGTGCCACTAGGACAATTATGAACATAACGACTCATCTCCATTATGTCCATTATTACAGGCTCTCCTTTGTTATAATTATGTACATTATAACCCATCTCCATGATGTCCATTATAACAGGCTCTCCTGAGGTCTTTCCATTAAACTCAGTCTCCCCCAGGGCGTGGGTGTCGTGGTATCGGGGACGTGCATCGCTGGGGTGATCCGTGTCAACGACACCCTCCTGCTGGGGCCCACGGGCACGGGCGAGTTCATCCCCATGCCCGTCAAGTCCATCCACAGGAAGAGGATGCCCGTTAGGGAGGTGTGGTGCCTGTTAGGGAGGTGTGGTGCCCGTTAGGGAGGTGTGGTGCCTTGCTGGGAGTTTAAGGTGAGCTGGGAGCGTCCTGCGCTGTGTCCTGCCTCGTGCTGGGAGTTTAAGATGAGCTGGGAAAGGTCTTAATTTACACGTTATTTTATTGTTGAGTATTAGGTTTTTATTTAATAAATTTGTTGTCAAGTTAGAATTGGGATTGTAGAATTGTAAGAATATTTTAGAGAGTACTGAAATTGTGCTGGGAAATTGTGGATAGGAAAGGGTACGTAGCAGTATGAACGCGGTCGTGAAAACAGCCTCTCCTGTGGTTCGTAAAGCTTGTCCCTTGGACTGTAGTTATTGGAATCCCATTTTGTTGTGCTACAGTCTTGTGTGTGAGGAAGACTATTAATGTAAATGTAACGTCTTATGCAATAAAGTATTTTACTGGGACCGTGAATTAAATGAACATTGAACCTGCCACTATACGCATGACAATGTGATGTTCAGGGGGAGATCCTGGTCCTGCATCACCCCACCACCATCAGCACCAAGTACCAGGCGATGGTACACGTAGGGCCGGTCCGGCAGACCGCCTCCATCGTCTCCATGGACCGCGAGTGTCTGAGGACCGGAGACAAGGCGCTGGTCCACTTCAGGTTCATCAAGCATCCCGAGTACCTGCAGCCTGGGCTCAAGATGGTACGTGTGTGGTACGCGGTACACTTGTGGTACGTGTTACAGGTGTACCAGTGTACTGGTCTCTAGTGCAGGTGTAGTGTACTGGTCTCTAGTGCAGGTGTAGTGTACTGGTCTCTAGTGCAGGTGTAGTGTACAGGTCTCTAGTGCAGGTGTAGTGTACTGGTCTCTAGTGCAGATGTAGTGTACAGGTCTCTAGTGCAGGTGTAGTGGACTGGTCTCTAGTGCAGGTGTACTGGTCTCTAGTGCAGGTGTACAGGTCTCTAGTGCAGGTGTACAGGTCTCTAGTGCAGGTGTACAGGTCTCTAGTGCAGGTGTACAGGTCTCTAGT